TTGAAGCGTACTTGCCGAAACGAATTCTCCCCCGCGTGCTCCACGTAGGGTACTGAGAAACGAAGTTCTAAGGATCTCTCATGCATGGTTTGACTGCTAGCCACAATTCGTGGATATGTCCCCTTCTCTGGGGCAGAAGTGAAGGACACTCCTCAATGGTTATGGCATGTTTTTTCTTCTTGATCTCGACATCAACCCTTAATGCCTTTAATATTTCCTTGTTTTTTATCGTGAACCAAAACATTTTCTGCTATATGTGTGTCGGATAATTCGAGGACCTCCATTTGCGAGTTGACCCTGCCCCTGTAAAACATAAGAAAAAGAAAATGGAAAATGAATACACTTTTCCCTACACGAGTCCGACGAAATTGACAAAGGAAAAAAATGACACAACCTGTGTGCCCATTCAACAGCCAACGAGAGTTTTTCAACGTCGTTTTACCCGTTGAATAGCCCGGGGGGGGGCGTTGAAACCCCGTTGAACGATTCAATGGGCCTTCAACAAAAAATTCGTGAAAACCTAAAAAAAAAAATTCTTAGGTTTGCACGAAATTTTTAAAAGATTCTGATAGTACATTTTTCATGCCTCCTACATGAACAACATTCTATGTGAAGTTAATTAACCGCAAAAAATAATTAGAAAAATACTTTTCAAAAACCACTAGAAGTGGTGAGGAGAGAAGCAAGTCTTTTTACAAAAAAATCAAGAATCGAAATATCCCAATTTTTTTAATTAAAAAAAATCAAATTTATAGTTCTATAAGATATGAAGCACGATGAAACTATTCGCGGGTTTTCCAAACACGCACATATATTCTCCCACTCACGAATACATTCTCTTGGATATGTCCCCTCATACATGGACGAATATATTGTTTTTTAGTTTTTTTTTTTTTTTATAGTTTTTTTTTTTTTTTTTTTTTAAATCGTGGTTGGCTAAACATTTAAAGATGTCCCCGAGGCAAAATTTGTTTGAATTCTTCTTTTACATAACATATATTTTTTGACAAGGAATTTACAATAAACTTAAAAATGGATTTTATTAATTTTTCAGTTCTATAAACTAGTTTTTACAGAACGTGGTTTTTACCTAGGTAGCATGGGTTATCTGGCCGGATAATCTGGTCGGATTATCTGGCCGGATGATCGGGGGGTAGGATCATTTGGAAATCCGGATGATTAAGGAAAAGACCTTCAAAAAAAAAAAAAAAAAAAAAAGTAAAAGAAAAGTGATATTGCGCATGCAAAATACAATAGAACTACGTTCCTATTTCATGAAAAGCTTGATAGGGCGTGGAAGGGTTTAAAAGGGATAAGATAGGGAATAAAGGGGTTTAGAGGGGGGATGCTTAATTCATTCTATAATTTTTTATCTAAATATTATTTTCTTGTTCTGTTTTATTTTTTATCTTCATATCTGTTGAGTAATCAAAGATGGCCTCATACCAAAAGTTGTTCATATCATTGATATGAACAACATAATTTTTTTTCAGATTTTTTCATTTTTTTTTATTTTTATTTTTTGCAGGGCCGCATTTTCCGTATCCCGGAATTCATCCGGAAATTTCATCCGGATTGAAAATTCCGGATAAAATTGGTCTGCCGGATATCCGTATTTGCTACATAGGTTTTTACCAAACTGCTGAGAACGACTTATAGTTTTATAAATTAGTATTTACTGAAAGTGTTTTTTTTAACGTCTTTCGAATTCGTCTTGCAGTTCTTAGAGATTGTCTTATTTAAGCTATGTTTTTTTTCAATCTACTGAAAATGACTTATAGTCTTATAACATGTTTTTTTATTGGAAAAAAATTTCTTTCACATTTTGAGAATCACTAGACTTCTTGCCAATTTTTTTGCCTCCTTTCTCGGAAAACAATTAGAAACACTATCTTTTATGTGTCAAAAATAAGATTTTGACTTTCACTTTTTCATTCTATAAAAAATGTTAGGTTTTGTGGTTTTGTAAGGTTTTCAAGAATTCAGTGTTCTTCCCGTTGAACAACGCTCAACAACGGGCCGAACGCAAAAATCGTTGTGCCTGGGGCACTGCAGGCGAAGTAAAAAAAACGAAACTCAACACCCGACTCCCCCGTTGTACCCCCGTTGAATCCGTTAAACGCCCGTTGAAAGGCCGTTGAACGGATTCAACGTCGTTGAATGGCCGTTGAATCCCTGTTGAATCCCCGTTGAACGACATGGCCGTTCCGCTAGAATTCGAACGACGGGGGGCGGGATCGCGGCTGTGGGAACATTGCAGTACATGTTGGGAACGCTGAAGGTTGAAAAAAAAAAAAAAAAAAAAAAAAAAAAATCCGCGGCCTCCACCATCCGCCCGGCCGACCACATGCACCTCCATCACCGAACCCACCCTCCCTCCACGGGTAGCCAATCCCCGCCCCGGCGAAGCAACCCCCGCCTCACTAAACCCTAGAGCCCCACCGCACACCCCCACCACTCCGCAGCCCCTACCCCAGCATACACACCTCGCCTTAGCCCCCCCACCCCCCACCCAATGTTGGTTTTTTATTTTTTATTTTTTCTTATGTCTTGTTTTTTTTTTTTTTTTTTTTTTTTCCTGTGCGTATAAATATTATCGGACCAATGTCGAGTTACACATACATTCGTACTTCACATGCTTACGCTCTTAGGTAATAGTTGTTTTACATTCTATAGCCGAACCAATTCAGATTTTCACGTTCATCCAATAATACAATGACATCCAGTTGCAACACTAAATGAATGAACTTGAGTGGCGAGAGCGAGGATTAGAATCGCTCAGACTCCATAGCTAATGGTACAATGACATACAATTGCAAAAAGAAATAAAGGAACTTCAAATGAGACATCGATGATTATAAGAAGAAGAAGATGTACACCAGGGAAACCAAATTTTACATAATGCAATCCCTGCA